ACCTGGTACCAAATATCACGGTTGTGGAGTGCATAGTAGGAATGTGAGGGACTTAAAGATCAAATCGGATGAAAGATATATATGCTAGCTATAGCTATATCTGAACCGATTTTCTCCAAATTTAATATACTTGCTTCTAGGCCGAACTCGGTTGGGTGTTCCAAAATTCAGGTAATTTGGACTGATAGTGGACATTTGGTGCACATTTAACCCGAAATCGGATGAAGATATATATGGGAGCTATATCTAAATTTGATCCGATTCTCACCAATTTCAATAGGGTTCGTCCTTGGGCCAAACATACATTGTTTGGAAAATTTCATCTCAATCGGATAATAAATGCGACCTGCATTTTGTTCACAAGAATACATGGACAGACGGACGGACGGACAGACGGACGGACATGCATAAATCGACTCAGAAAGTGATTCTATGAAGGTTCTCAAAAGTAACTATGGGTCTATCTCGTTTCCTTCTCCATGTTACAAACAAATGCACAAAGACATAATACCCTTACCACTATGTGGTGTAGGGTATAAAAATGTGAGAAGTGCGCTTTCTAAGAACACCATTAAGCGTTTATACGAAAAATTTTCGACTGGTAAGGCTCTTTCTAATCCGAAGAGGCCATATAAAAGTCGACCAAGGCGATCGGCCGAGAATATCGCTGCCGTACGAGCCAGTATTGAGAGGTCCCCAAGAACATCCTAAAAACGCCGTTCTCAGCAGTTGGGCATGGCTTGGTCCACTTTACAACGGATTATTCGCATTGATTTGCATTTGTTCCCGTACAAAATTCAATTGACGCAAAAAATGTTGCTAGCGTACAAGCCTCGTCGATTGGAATGGGCCCATGGGTCCGTCGAATATGGGCAACCCTGTATAATAGATCTTGTGTTGATAGAAATTTTGAGATGTGCCAAGTCTGAATGGAATCGGATGTTAATTTCGGGTTTTATGAGCTTCATGGGTATATAAAATGTTGACCCTTTGAGCGGGAGGTACCAGAAGGGAGGCACCAGACCTTGGGCTATTAAAAATATTGTGATATTTGAATACAATTGAATTTTTACATCACATTTTTTTTAGAGTTATAGTTATTCAAAATTTCGACCCTTTGTGGGGGAGGTATTTGATAGTGTGGACCGATACTGCCCATTTTTCGCACCAGACCTAGCACTGATGTAAACATTAGAATTTTCAGTTGTAGCAAAATCGGATTATTCTTTCTCTTTCTGTGCAGTAAAACATTTTTTTGAAAACATCGACCTTTTTGTTGGTACCTTGGACCCATAATGCCCATCTCCGTACTTGATCTAAGTTTGATAATAACATTGCGATGTAACAAGTTTTGAAAAATCGGATACTCTTTTTATACCCTACACTACATAGTGGTAAGGGTATTATGTCTTTGTGCATTTGTTTGTAACATGGAGAAGGAAACGAGATAGACCCCTAGTTACTTTTGAGAACCTTCATAGAATCACTTTCTGAGTCGATTTATGCATGTCAGTCCGTCTGTCCGTCCGTCCGTCCGTCCGTCCGTCCGTCCGTCCGTCCGTCCGTCTGTCCATGTATTCTTGTGAACAAAATGCAGGTCGCATTTATTATCCGATTGAGATGAAATTTTCCAAACAATGTATGTTTGGCCCAAGGACGAACCCTATTGAAATTGGTGAAAATCGGATCAAATTTAGATATAGCTCCCATATATATCTTCATCCGATTTCGGGTTAAATGTGCACCAAATGTCCATTATCAGTCCAAATTACCTGAATTTTGGCACACCCAACCGAGTTCGGCCTAGAAGCAAGTATGTCAAATTTGGAGAAAATCGGTTCAGATATAGCTATAGCTCCCATATATATCATTCATCCGATTTGATCTTTAAGTCCCTCACATTCCTACTATGCACTCCACAACCGTGATATTTGGTACCAGGTATTAGATGGAGCACAGAAATAGCTGTTTTAAATTTTATCGAAATCGGTTTAGATTTGGATATAGCTCCCATATATATCTTCATCCGATTTCGGGTTAATTGACCACCAAATGGCCAATATCAGCCCAAATGGCCCGAATTTTGGCACATGTGACCGAGATTAGCCTTAAAGCAAATACAACAAATTTGGAGAAAATCGGTTCAGAAACAGATATAGCTCCCATATATATCTTCATCCGATTTCGGGTTAAATGTGCACCAAATGTCCACTATCAGTCCAAATTACCTGAATTTTGGCACACCCAACCGAGTTCGGCCTAGAAGCAAGTATATCAAATTTGGAGAAAATCGGTTCAGATATAGCTATAGCTCCCATATATATCTTTCATCCGATTTGGTGTTTAAGCCTCTCACATTCGTAATATGCACTCCACAAGAATGATATTTGGTACCAGATATAAGATACAGCCCAGAAATAGCTGTTTGTCATTTTATCGAAATCGGTTCAGATTTGGATATAGCTCCCATATATATCTTCATCCGATTTCGGGTTAATTGTGCACCAAATGGCCGATATAAGTCCAAATGGACTGAATTTTAGTACATCGGACCAAATTCAGCCTAAAAGCAAGTATATCAAATTTAGTGAAAATCGGTTCAGATATAGATATAGCAACCATATACATGTTTCATCCGATTTAGAGTTTTAGTCCCACACATTCGTAATATTCACTCCACAACCGTGATATTTGGTACCAGGTATTAGATGGAGCACAGGAATAGCTGTTTTAAATTTTATCGAAATCGGTTCAGATTTGGATATAGCTCTCATATATATCTTCATCCGATTTCGGGTTAAATGTGCACTAAATGGTCAATATCAGCCCAAATCACCAGTCTAGAAGCTAATACGTAAAATTTGGAGAAACCCGGTTCAGAGATAGCTATAGTTCGTAAAATGCACGATAGAATTAGATAGATTTTGATTTTGTACCAAATATCTCATAGAGCTCTGAAATGCCCTGTATAAACCTTTTTACGAGAGCTCTACTAAATATGCATAGTGGTGTAGGGTATCATATAGTCGGCCCCGCCCGACTTTTGAGCTTTCCTTACTGGTTGAGAGTTATCTTTTCAAAGGTTATGTAGCAAAATCGGATTATTCTTTCTCTTTCTGTGCAGTAAAATATTTGTTTTTTTTTTTTTTTTTTTTTGAATACTTCAACCTTTTTTGGGGTAATTGGTACCTTGGACCAATATTGCCCAACTCCGAACTCCATCTAAGTTTGATAATAATATTACAATGTAACAAGTTTGGACAAAATCGGATACTCCCTTCGAGAGTTATCGCGTGCACCAGTCAGACAGATGGACGGACGTCGCTAGATCGATTCCAAATGTCCTGAAACGGATTTGCTCCAAAGAGACCTAGGGTCTAAAACCGATATTTCGATGAGAAACGTTTTGTCCGTATCAAATGATATATACCCTCTCTAGCCATATAACTGAGGGTATAATAAGTTATAACAATTAGTCCCTTCGTATTTAAATGGAATAGCTCATATCTTTCTTGGTACCTAAGACCCTTGTAACTTGTTAATAATGGCACATCGAATAAAACAAAAAATAAAGAATATGTATTAACAAAGAAGATTACCAGCTGGCTTATTTCAGATGGATGAATGGTTTAATTCTTGTTGTCCGTTTTGTGTGCGCTATGACAAAAGGCTGACGCTGACGCTCTTTGCAAAATAATGATAACGATGAGACAGGGAAATCTTGTTTAATGCCTCCTGTTAATATTTAATGGCCAGCAAGTGGTGTGAAATTTTCTTCACAGCTTTAATTTCGCTGTAGCGACGAGTATTGTCATTTTGTTTTGCGTATCGTCCTTTTACTTCTACGCAAAAAGTGCTAAGGTTAATCTCTCTCCTTGCTTTTTGAACCTCTGCGCAGCACAATAGGATTAACAAAGCTAATGAATAAGATAATAATTTGTAAGACGAAAACAAAAGATGTATTTCTTTTGTAAGAATGTGTCCAATATAATAAGAAGATGGCTTATGAGGATGTTATTGAAAATGTGATCCTTTATTGTAAAGTGTTTTTTTGTCGTAGGCTGAGGTCGTCAGTCATATTTCCAACTAGACCTTAAAGAATAGAAAAAGAAGAATTACTTATTTGTCGGGAGATTAGATCGGGAATTAATAGATGTAATTACCAATTTGCTACAGATATGGTAAATTGCCTTCAAACATAATCGGGAACTCAATAAGTTGAATGGATAATACAGCCTAAGACAGAAAATTGTGTGTGTAGGTCCACGTCTTCGTATAGCCCCCATATGACGATACCTATCGATACCGGAATTCTTTCAAATTTGGTATTTGATGTTCGTAATGAATGCTACAGCCTATGACAGGAGATTGTCTCTGCAGGTCCACGTCTTCGTATAGCTCCCATATAACGTTACCTCCTAATATTCGGTATTTTGATGATCTTAGCGTCATTATTCACCGGAGTTGTTGTAAAATTGGTATTTGAAGTTCGTTATGGGAACTACAGCCTAAGACAGAAAATTGTCTATGCATGTCCAGGTCTTCATATAGGCCCCATATATCAGTACCTCCCTATATTCGGTATTTTGAAGATTTTACGTACAATACTCACCGGACCTATAGCCTGCGACAGAAAATTGTCTATGCAAGTCCAGGTCTTCGTATAGGTCCGATATAACGGTACCTCCCTATATATTTGATGATTTTAGCTACATTATTCACCGTTTATTTCAAATTTCGAATTTGAATATAGTAACGGCTTCTGACAAACAATGCCTATGTTGGTCCACGTCGTATATACCCCAATATAACGGCTATTTTTAAGGTTCTAACTGAATTTTTAACGGATTTTATTTTTTGAAAATTTCCAAATTCGTTCCAAATGGTGGAAGGTATTCAAAGTTCAGCCCGACCGAACTTACTGCTTTTTAACTTGTTGTGTTTAAAGCAGTTGAAGTTAGATATAAATATAAGATATATATACATATAAATTAACTTACTTAATTTAATCAAGAAGCGACAGCTGCACCGTATATATCAAGATGTTGATTTTAAGAAGAATAAGTTTTACATAGTGATGGTAGTAAAATTTTCAATTTCCTTAAACATAAAAATTGTAAACAATATCCGAATTAAATCTCAAGGAAAAAGTGATGTTGAAACCTTATTTTCCAGATTCCTTATTAAATGCCAGTTCGCTCATCGACTAATGCACCATATTGTTTTATGGGTCCAACAGTCAAAGGAAGATGTAGAACTTGTTAGGAAACTCGTGTGTTAAAGGCTCTCAGCGAAGAATGCGTAGGAAAATCCTCTTTTGCATTAATTCAGCGAATTTCGTATGAAGAGGAACTTTGTTTTCCGAAACGTGATCCGGTCGGTCGGGATAAAATATTGTTAATTTGGAAAAGTTCACAAACAAATCTTATTTTAAAATTGACAAAGTTATCTTTTCGAAATATTTTATTAAAATTATTTGATTTTTCTGAAAATATTTGGAAATTTCAAATTTTATATTTCAAACGAACTGTGTTTTCCAAAAATGTTATTTCCTTGTTACCGTTTCACAAAGTGTAAGGCACAGTGCCACAATTGAAACTATGATTTTGATATTCGGTTGAAGACCATTCGTTGATAATTTGGCACCATGGTGTTGATGTTCAATTTATAGGTAGTGGGCGCAAATGGATTCAGAATTCATCGATGTTTAATTTTTTGAAAATTTATTTGAAAAATACGTACGTTTTGCAAGTGTACACCGAAACTTGGAAATATAAGATGATTTTACACCATTAAAAAGGTATCATTACTCTCTATGTTTTGGTAGTCATTTTGATGATAATTGGGAACTACAGTGTTAAGATAGTGGCGATAGGGTGAGTAAGATGGCCACAGAAACAGGGCCACCAGTTGCAAGGCACGCGGAACAAATACATTTAAATAAACCTAAAATGAATCAAAATTTTGCACAGAAAATTTTACAAGGCGGAGAATATAAAAAAAGTTCAACCAGGAATTTGGCACAATTGGTGGCATTGTGTTATAGGCCTTATCGATTCATAATTAGGTATGGATCCTATATAATTGTTTCTAACGATTATGGGTATTTTAAAGTTTTTTACCGTAATTTTGAGCTGACTTAGCTTACATTTGAGAACCTACAGGGTGAGATAAAAAAGATATATATATATATTTTTATACCCTCCACCTTGGATAGGAGGGTATATTAACTTTGTCATTCCGTTTGTAACATCCTTAAATATTCGTCGTAGACCCCATAATGTATATATATTCATAATCAGCATAAAATTCTAAGTCGATTTAACGATGTCCGTCTGTCTGTCTGTCCGTCTGTCTGTTGAAATCACGATACAGCCCACATTATTTGACGTAGAGCGCCAAAATATAGCAGAGCAATTGGTATTGTGTCTAGGATGGTTGGTATTGAAAATGAGATATATCGGTCCACGTTCTGGTATGGTCCCCATATAACGGTACCTCCCGATATTCGGTATTTTGATGATTTATGCCACATTATTTAACGGATTTGTCTGGAAATTGGTATTTGTAGGTCATAACGGGTCCCTGTACGTGTGGCGAAACATTGTATGTATAGGTTCACGTTTTGGTATAGTCCCCATATAACGGTACCTCCCAATATTCGGTATTTTGATGATTTTTGACTAATTTTTTTCACGAATTTCACTGAAAATTTGGTAGTTGTAGATCATAATGGGTCCCAGTTCGTGTGGCGTGTCATTGTAATTATAGGTCCACGTTTTGGTATAGCCCCCATATAACGGTACCTCCCGATATTCGGTAATTTGATGATTTTTGCCACATTTTTTTTACGCATTTGTCTAAAAATTGGTATTTGTAGGTCATAATGGGTTCTAGCTCCGTTGGCGGAACCTTGCATGTGTAGCTCCACGATTTGGTAGAGCCCCCATATAACGGTACCTCCCGATATTCGGCATTTTAATGGTTTTTGCCACATTTCTTCTAATGTTTCCTTTACCCTAAGGTGGAGGGTATTAAAAGTTTGGCCCGGCCGAACTTAATGTTTTTTTACTTGTTTTTTTTAATTCTATTTAATGAAAGCAAAAAATGTCGGAAATAGCATCAAATTTTAGAATAAGTTTAGATTTGTTCGAATTGGTCACCTTTGGCTCGAATTATGGCCTTCAAACGGCCAATGAAATCGTCACACACTGCCCGAATGTTGCTCTAAAAAGCGCTTGCTTGAGGTTATCGACATTTTGGTAATTTTTAGTGCCAACCTTGCTTTCCAAAATACTCCAGACACAATAGTCCAACGGATTGGTATCCGAAGATTTTGGTTGCTATTGTGCCTTGGAATGAAGCGAGGAACCTCATTTTGTAACCATTTTTGGGTGGCGCGTGCTGAGTGCCATGGTGCTGAGCCCGGTTGGAATGTCCAAGGTCTGCTGCTAAAATCTTTACGTGTCCAAGGCTTTAATGCACTCTCCAGAATATTTTCGCGATAATATTCGGCATTTATTCTAATGCCACGGTCGATTAATACGAGTGGAGAGCGACCATCGGCGACTGAGGTCGTCAGTCATATAACCAACTAAACCTTAAAGAATAGAAAAAGTCATTGTGCGCTGAAGCAAAGAACCTCATTTTGTAACCATTCTTGGGTGGCGTGTGCTAAGTGCGAGGGTGATGAGTCCTGTTGGAATGTCCAAGGTCTGCGGCCAAAATGTTTGTTTGACCAAGGCTTTAATACACCCTCCAGAATGTCTTCGCGATAATATTCGGCATTTATACTGATGCCACGGTCAATCTATACGAGCGGAGAGCGACAATCGGCTGATATGGCGGCCAACACTATCACCATGACCGGCGCTTGAATTCTGGTGGCCAAGCGAAGGTGCACATTTTCAGCTGACCTTTTCGGCAAGTAAACACGATCATTTTGTTTGTTTACAAACTGCTGGACAACGAATTTTTTCTCATCGGAGAAAACGAAATTCGGTAGTTCATCACTTTTGGCCAAGCGAAGCAACTCTTTAGCTCTTTTGAGTATATTTCCTTTCTGTCGCGGTGTAAGTTCATGCACTTTTTGGAATTGCAAAGGCTTTACCCCTAGCTTCTTTTTTAATGTTTGCCGAATGGAATATTGCGATATGTTCAACTCACGAGCCATTTTTCGGCCACTGCGACGTGGGTTTCGATCAAGTCGCTTCTTTATTTTTCGAACCATTTCTGCTGATGTTGCTGTTTTCTTCTGTCCACTTCCTTGACGTCGGGCCATGCTACCAGTATCAAGGTAACGAGCGATGGTACGAGACACAAAAGATTTATTCACATTTAAATGCTGGAGTGGTCTAACCATAGTCACTTGTGTTTTTCCAGCCAAATATAAAGAAATCGCACAATCGCGCTTGAATTCCATCACGAATAACTTCTCTTCTGAAAAATTCCCACCAAAATGTTTTCGTACGCTTGTAAACAATATAATGAGCTGTCACTGGAATAATTTTAACAGCTTTTGGACGAGTGGCTTAGATATGACAGCAGTCAGAAGTTGCAGAAGGTTGCAGTTTTTTCATCTCACCATGGAAGCTATAGCTATAACTGAACCGCTTTTCACCAAAATCTGAAGCGCTTGCTTTTAGACTGAATTCTATCGGAAGTGTCATAGTTCTGTTCATTTAGGCTGATATTAGCCATTTGTAACGCCAAAAACAAGAAGTCGGATAAAGAAAGCTCTTTCCAAATCGAAACCGATTTTGACAAAATTTGAAACACTTATTTCAGAGCTGTATCTGATATCTGGTACCAAGGATCATTGTTGTGGAATGTATTTTATGTGAGGGTCTTAAAATTCTTAAAATTCCAAATCGGATAACATATATATAGGAGCTAATGCTATATCTGCACCGATTTTTCTCCAAATTTGATGTACTTATGCCAAATTTTGTCAAAATGCAGGTCATTTGAACTGATATTGGCCATTTGATGATATTGTGAAAGTGATTCTATTAAGATCCTCAAAAGTAAATATGGGTCTATCTCGCTTCCTTCTCCGTGTTGCAAACAAATGTAGAAATACATAATACCCTTACCACTATGTGGTGTAGGATATAAAAACCAATGCTCCTCTAAGGAGTACTAAGTTTACAATCTATGGCTTCCATTTTGTTGCGGGATATTGTGCTCTCATTCCAAATTATGATTTCTGGTGATTGGAGTACTTTACCAATTGACGAATTTTTCTTAATGTTGCAAGTAAATATGCGAAATCATCCGCCTGTAGAGACACATCCTCCTGTAGAGATGAAGAAGGAAATCTGTTGACAGATACAGATAGCGTGCTGAGGATCTGGAAGGAGCATTTTGCAAAGCTTCTGGTATCAAATAATGGCGGTGCAGAAGATACCCCAGAACCAATAAGAGATGACGGTATAGAGTGTATACCACCTAGCCAAGATGAGGTCAGAATAGCATAGCTGAAGAATAACAAAGCAGCAGGTGCCGATGGTTTGCCAGCCGAACTATTCAAGACCGGAGGTCAAAAGCTGATTAGGAGCATGCATCAGCTGATTAGAACAATTTGGCTAGAGGAATGTATGCCCAACGATTGGAACCTCAGCATCCTGTGTCCCGTTCATAAAAAAGGAGACAAGACGATATGCGGCAACTATAGAGGAATCAGTCTCCTTCCCATCGCATATAAAGTGCTTTCCAGTGTGTTGTGTGAACGACTGAAGTCAATGGTCAATGACATTATTGGACCATACCAATGCGGCTTCAGATCTGGCAACTTCACCACAGACCAGATTTTCACTCTGCGCCAAATCCTGGAAAAGACCCAAGAAAAACATATCGACATATTCCACCTCTTCGTCGACTATAAAGCCGCATTTGACAGCCCTATCCGCTCAGAGGTGGTTAAAGCCATATCTGCGTTCGGCATTCCTGCAAAATTAATAAGGCTATGCAGGATAACTTTAACTGGCACAAGGTCAGCAGTTAGAGTCGGAAAGGACCTCTCGGAGCCCTTCAATACCGAACAAGGGTTCAGACAAGGTGACAGCCTGTCGTGTGACCTATTTAACATCCTGCTGGAAAAGGTCATACGAGATGCAAAGGTGAACAGAAATGGCACTCTGTACACCAAACTACACATGTTGCTCGCCTACGCCGATGACATCGACATAATGGGTCGAACATTAAGAGCGGTAACAGCCACCTTTGAACAAATTGAGAAGGAATCTGCCAAAGTGGGTCTGGCAGTAAATGGCGAGAAGACCAAGCGGATGGTATCAACGCGCAAGACGCCCAGTAGACTCGGACCAACTGTGGAACGTTAAAATTACAGCTTTGAGGTAGTCAATGACTTTATCCACCTCGGTACCGCCATAAACAAAACAAATGACATCAGTTTTGAGATTCGGAGAAAGATAGTGTTGGCCAATGGATGCTACTATGGTCTATGTAAGCAGTTCAGAAACAAGGCCACATCTCGCCAGACCAAACTCACACTCTACAAGACACT